CCCAGCCCCCCGCAAGGTGAGGAATGGATTAGTCAGAACTCCGGGCAATTCTGTTTTGCCAAGAAAGGAAACATGGGCTTTGATTAACTATTCAGAAAACATTTTGTTGACAGGATAGCGACATTGAATGTGGTGTCAGAGTTCGGTAAGCCTCCAGTTGGTATGAAAGATGAGGATAAGATATTATTTTTATGTAAGAAAAGCCAAGTAATTTTCCATCTGGTATGTGCAAGACTTCATAAGTTTTAGCTAGTTTACTTGACAGTTGTGTGTGAGAACTGACTAATGTTTGTACAGGACTTTGAAAATTGGAGATTTTTTATTGTTTTTAACCATTAACTCCATGTAACTAATTGCTTTCATCTGTGTATGTCTAGTGACTTACTAATATGCTTGGATTGACAGTTTCATAAGACACTATTTCTACTGTAGACTACACATGGTTTCCACATTTCATAGTGGTGTCATGGTTTTCTGTGATTTACAGTTTCTGTTTTTTATTTTTTCTTTACAGAGGGACATTACCTAATGGAAAACATACCGTATGGGTGAAGGGGTACCTAATGCCGACAAAGCAGGAAATATAGAAAAACTATGTTTCCTTAGCTGCTTCAGGGTAAATGAAGTAGTGTGACTTGTCTGGATGTGGAGCTTTAAAATCGTAATGAGGAAAGAAAGAAACTACTATGCAGATATTCTTTTTTTTAGGCTTGAGGTAGAAGTTTGAGGAATAAACTTCTGCTGTTTTACAGCCTTTCATGATGTTACTTGACAGTCTGATAGCACAATGAGGCTCCTTTATTTAGCCTTATGTACTAAATAAAATACTTGCCAAGAGATAGTCATGTTTTTGTCTTTGCAATAGTCCAGAAAATTTATTTAATAGCCCTTGCTGGAGAAGCAAAGTGGAGAACAATTGCTCTTCATTATGCCTGAGTCACTGTCTCCTCTCCTAATTAATCATTGATTTATTTGATAGCATGGTTAATGCAGTGCAGAAATCCAGGGGAGGTTTTTTACTACCTGTTGTGAACAGCTTTTCTGATTTTACTTGTGTGGAAAATACATCTCTCAGAAGTTTTCAATATTGTAGACATGTCTAGGCTTCATCAAAAGACTTTGATTCCCCACCCCCCCCACACCTCCACGTCCACGCCCAGTCTTTTGGTTTTCATTGTTTCTGGAGAAAACACTTAAATATTGCAGTTATCATTTGCTTGAAAAGTCCCTGCAATTAGTAGTGCTGGTGAGAATTACATGAAAAGAGATGTTTCTGGCCTCTCTGCTTTTGTCAGACTTTTGTGGACAATTTTCGAGACTCTAATAAGGGGATTTGCTCTATTTGTATAATCGTTGAACTTTTTCAAGTGTAGCAATATTCTGGCACAAAATGCAGAATTCTTAAGGGGGTGAGAAAAAGAAAAAGAAAAAAGGTATAACTCATTTTCTTGAAAAACACTTATGATCTATATGTCATTGAGCACTGGCAGTGAAAGGTACAAATTACCATTCAGAATTATAAATGCTAAAGTATGAGCGATGGTTGAGTGCACAGTTCACTTTTCATACATAGGAAGACAACAAAGAGGATTTTTTGGATTTTTTTTTTTGTTAATGCCAACATTTCTGATTCGTAGGGGGAATTCCAAAGTCATGTTCCTTACTTAGTTAAAGTTTCAGAATGGCAGTGATATGATCTGGATTGAAATATCTGCGGTTTTTTTTGGTTTGGTTTGGTTTTTTTGAGAGGTGAGGTGGTGGTGTCTGTAATGTATTTGGTGAAATGCGGCAGCTTAACATTTGAATTTAAGAATATGAATTGGAAATTTTTTCTTGTTCAGTGTCCTTACGTGGGATTGTTAATAGTTGGGGAAATGCATTAGTGAGACTAGGTAAATATTCAGCATTGCCTTGAATGGTGTTTAGCATCTGGCTAGAATCCTGAAATAGGCTGGTGATTCACATGCATTACACTGTAGTTGATCTGAAATTATCTGGGATAGAGTCACTACACAGCCTTAAAACTGCTAAGTCAGTTGTTACTGCTTTGTAGACAACTGATCTGTACTGTAATCTTGTTGATCCCACTTCGCAGATCAAATGAGAACTATGTTTGGAATAGAATGAATCAAGTATGTCTTACTGCACCATAAATTTGCAACATCTAGATTTACAGCCAGTCCTTCAGTTACTAATCCCTTCAGGGTTATTCGTTTGGGGGTTTTGTTTAGTTTTGGTTTCCCTTTGGTTACTTTACATAATTCTTTCCATTTCTGTAGTTTCCTGTAAGTCTATGACTCCTTTTCATAGAAAATAATGTGTTAGGACCTGTAGTTCTGGTATATTTTGGTGAGCTTTAATTTAAACAAGTGTCAGATGATTAGCCTGTAGATTTCAGCAGTTTAATCGGACATCTGCACAATAGACGTCTTGTTCTTAGCCCTCGTACTGGCTCCCTACAGAGACAAACCCCATTTTGTAACAAATTTAAGCTAGTTGTTATTTAAGACTAAATTACTTTTTGTTCCACAAGCTTATGCAGTTTTATATGTCGAGTTGGTTAGTTGTTTCTGACTGATTGTTTTACATGCACTTTAGATGTGATGAAAGAAATTTGGGTCTGCCTCCTTCAGGAGGTTACCTAGGTGTTGTTCAGAACAAAAATAAATAAATAACGGATATTTTTTTTTTCCTTCCTGGTTTCTTCTGTGAATTGCTTTGATTTCGTTCTAAGTCTTTGGGGAGGGTTGTGAGTACTTTGCCTTTTCCCAGAATTCTTTTGTCTCTTAACGTCATTTTAAGTTACTTTTGTTGTCTTTATCTGCTTTTTTTTTTCAATTTTTTTTGCCTTCTTCCCCCAAAGTCTCTTCCTTTAATGTAAACATAGTTTTCTTTCATTATGACCTATTGACTTTCACACTGTAATTTTCATCCTACTCTCTGACCTGTCTTCAGACAGGTATCTCTTCCTGTCTTCAGAATATGTTTGTCAGTGGTTGAAGTTCATCCTTTTGTGCGGTCAATTCTCAGGCATTTAGCCTGTTTTCCAAATCATAGCACTGGCATTGAATGGATGGATAACACTGCAGCATAGTACAGTGCTGTGGCATCTGTCTTATGTTAGGCTGTATTTTCAGCTGGGAGCCTCAAAGCCAAATTAAAATTCTACTGCTGCTAAAAACTTGATGCTCACCTGATCTCCATAGTTTGTGATTAAGTAGGATTGCTTGTCAATTCTCATTAAAACAACCCTGAAATGTTGAGGGGAAAAAAGTATTTTCCAGTTTTGTTTAATTAACAAGATATGTTTGGTTTTGTTCTCAACTGAGCTACTAGAATGTAAATAGCAGGTGGTTGTCCTAGTCATGATGACTTTCTTTGTATTGCTTTACTTCTAATTTTTCATCAGTCTAAAATCTTAAAATCAATGCCTAGAAATGTTTTTGGAAAAGGTAAGGAAAAATGTAATGTACTGTTGTTGCTGTTATTAAACTGAGAGGCTAAGTAGCCATTGTATTAAATGCCATACAGAGAAAATCTTGTAATTAAACAGTGAAGTATAGGATAATAGGTGAACACAGTCTGCCGTCAGAACATAAAGGAAAAATGAGAAAATAATCCAGCAAAAACAGTCTGCAGGTTATGGGGTGATGATTGCAATGCTGTTGACATGATACAGTGCAATGAATAGTTGGAGAACATGTGCCAATCTGCTACTTTTAACCCACAATATTTTTGTTAATGAGGTTGATTCTTTGTGAAAGCAATTTCCTATAAATGTATGCTTCTCTGTTCTTTGTTTAGGTATCATGCCAGTGTATCATAACCTGTTTGCACTCATGAGTGAAACAGAGAGAATGTGGTATCCCCCAAATCACATCTTCCATATAGATGAAGCAACCAGACTTATCCTAATTTACCGGATAAGGTAATCTAAATCAAATGTTATGCACTTTTCATGGTAAAACAAAACTATTTGAGAAAACACAACCAGTAAGATATTTAGTTGAACCATAGTTTCTCTAAGAAGTTATGGACAGATTGTTGGTGATACCTAGATAAGAGAGAGATAAAAGAATCAAAATTATTGAAGTAGGTTTGAATAGCGTATTTTATCGATTTTCTATATACCATATGTTTGCCATGTTGGATTGAAGAAACAATAAAAAAAATACAGCAGAAGTAAAAATGGTATTTTTCTTAATAATGATACATCTCATCTCCTCTGTGCTTGCCTGTTTAAAATTAGTGGCAGTTCTGAAATCCAGAGTAAATAGCCTGTGTAGTCTGGCAGATGTCTGCATTAGAACCATTTTTCTCTAACCTGATTTTTGAATGTAGACGTCTGAAGGTACAGTCACACCTCCAAACCAGCCAACACTAATTACATGTCTATGAAAGCAATAATGTCTGATGTTGGTAAGTGAAAGTATCTGTTTATTGATGTTTGCTTAAATATTTCCTAAGGTTTTATTTTCCCCACTGGTATTGCAATGGCACCAACAGAGCATATCGGTATGGCATTCTCCGAGGTGCAGAAAGCCCTGTTCTTGATGATCTTGTCATGTCTTACCTATTTGCACAGGTACGATTTGCTTGATTATTTTTTAATTGGCAAAGGTTGTTAGTATTTATTCCCTTTCATGTCTTCTGACAGTAACTGTGTAGGCTCTTTTGACAGCTTGAAGCCCACTCAAGATGAAAATTAAATTCATGTCATATTGTGTATTTGGAGAGATGAAGCTCAAATGGCAGTTGTGGGAAGAGTAGTGAGAGTGTGTAGCTCCTTTCTTGTGCCACTACCATGTGGAAGTCTTTCAGCATGACTTTTGTTTTGGACTGACGCAGTGTAGAATCACATCCTCCCCATATGGACCTTTTCGAGATTTGAAATGAAAGTATTTTGAAAACAGTGTTTCTAAGCACGATGGTAACTGGTATCCATTATGAAGACGTGCAGCTTTTTGTGGACGAAGGGATTCATTCAGAAGAATTCAGTCTTAAGAAAACGCAAACAAACAAAAAACCCCGCAAACAAACAAAAAACCCCAAACAAACAAAAAACCCCACATCCCAAAAAACCTTTATTGATGAGCAGCAGTGCTACAGTTTTAATTTGCTTTCTTGCATTCTTCTTTCTCAGTGGCGAGATGATTTTCTGGATGGATGGATACAGATGCCTGTTACTCACGAAACGCAAGAAGAATGCCTTGGAATGGCTGTTCTGGATATGATGAGGGTAGCCAAAGAAAAGGACCAAACCCCACTGGCCATTTACAATTCAGTCAGGTGACTCCATACTTCATAACTGTATCACACCTACCTGATACCTAAAACCAATATTTTTGCACATTAGCATCTGGGCGGAGATGTTCAGCTATTGGCAATTGATTTATTCTAGCATAATGATTCCATAAACTTACCTGTAGTGGAAACTAGAAATTAATAGAAAGCTTGTATCATGATGGCCATTCATGGTTTTGGGTACATGGATTTGGTTCTCTTAATGAGAGGTAAGGCAGCAGCTACTCATGTGGGAAAGCATGTAAGCAATAATTTGAGTTGGGAGAGACCTCTGGAAGTCATCAGATCCAACCCCATGTTCAGATCAGGGCCAACTTCAAAGTTAGATGAAGTTACTCAGGGCCTTATCCAGTCAAGTTCTGAAAATGTCCAGGAATGGAGATTCTATTGTATCTCTGGGCAGCTTTGTCCTGTGTATGATCATCCTCATTGAGGAAGATTTTCTCTGTATCTAATCAGTCTCTTCTGTGATACTGTGTGTCTGTTGCCTCTTGTCCTGTCACTGTGCATGTCTGAGAAGAGTCTAATTCAGTCTTCTCCATAACCGTCTGTTAGTTGCAGGCGGTTACCAGAGTACCCTGCTTGAGCCTTCTTTTCTCCAGGCTGAACAAATCAAGCTCCCTTATGCCTCTTCTGTCATGTCGTGTGCCCCAGGCTCTTAACCTTCTCAGGCAGATCTCTGCTGAACTTGCTTGAGTTTCAGTTCACTTTGGTTTATCAACCCAATTGGTTTCCGCTCCAGCTGAGTTAATTCTGTCCCTGCTTAGTACTTAATGCTTGATGTTTGTCTTTTTATGAGACCTAGCAGGAGGATAAAAAACAGAATGAGACAGTGAATTGGCCAGATGATTGCAGGTGACAAACTACTCTTTTGCCCCTTGATAGAATATGGACTGTGATGTAGGAACTTCAGTGAAAACCAACCACAGTATTGTATTCTACCACCTTTATTTTCAGCCAGGAAATCTGTGCTCTATCCGTTGCCTCTATCCGTGCAGTATCCTCTTTCTAACTTCTACACCAAAAAAAGCAACTGTGTAACTTCTGCTGCCTTACCTCAAAACTTCAGTAATGAGTGAAACAGACATGCCTGAATTTATGGAAAATGCATTATATAATATATGTTGAAACTAAGTGAGGGTAAAAAATGGAAAATGGAAGAAGAGAGGGGGCTGTATTTGAAAGAACATACTAGAGATTGAAGAAAGCATCCTTGTTGTCCTACAGTTTAAAAATAAGATAACATTTAGAGGAAAAGGTATTTTCATGTTGACTTGTTTAGCACAGAACTAATTATCTTTGCTGGATTTAATGGCTAAAACTAGTAGGTTTTTTGCTGCTTATGTGTTCACAGCTACAAAATGTTTTTGCCTAAATGTGTGCGAGCAAAAATCCAAGACTACCACATTTTGACGCGAAAAAGAATAAGGTACAGGTTCCGCAAATTTATACAACAGTTTGGCCAATGCAAAGCTACTGCCAGAAACTTGAAACTTAAGTATCTTATAAATCTGGAAACCCTTCAGTCTGCCTTCTATTCAGAGGTTTTTGAAGTAAAAGAACCTGGTGGAGATCCTTCTGGAGAGGAAAGTTTTGCAACCATTGTAATAACTGGAAATGGTGGAATTCAGTGCTCAAGAGGAAAACTTAAAGACTGTGAGACACTGGCAGAGCAGGTAATTTCTTTTATTATTTTAATAATTGTGCAGTTTATCATGTAACAGAGTGACTAGCTTATGTTAGAAGTTCTGATTTGCCCCAGGTAAATTTGGTAGGCAAATTTTACTTCACAGTGATGATGCAATTTCTGTATGGCTGAGGCTCACAGAAATGTATTGACTTAAACAGTGCAGGATTTTAAAATTCGTTTTTTATTGAAGTATTAGAAGAAAGTCAATACTTGAACATGTAATACTTCTGTGCGTGACAAATTAAAAATTCAGTGTTGGACCTTCATTATTGTAAAAAAACCAATGTGGAAAAGTAATGACCCTGCCCCCAGGTATAGGTAAAATGCATAAATCCTCAAATTCTCTTTGAAAGCAGGGTTCTAAGGACTCCAAAAACCAGGTAAATTTCCCTATACCTCTTTCCTGCTGCAGTTAGACTCCTACCAGTGTCTGAGCTAGCAAATTTAAAGTAACATTTCTGTGACTGCAGAGTCCATATACCCTTTGTTCAGAGATTAGATGCTAAATGGTTCCCATAAATGCTAGTAATCATGTGCTGTTGCATTTTTATTTATCAGTATTATTTCTTTTGTGTGTGATTTCCCAGCATGACTATTCATTTTGTCAAGTTTACCAGAATCTGATACAAACTCATAGCATTACGCATTGAAAGTGTGGGAATTTTCCAAAGGTAAAATTAAAGGCAAAGTGGAGCACATGTCAGTTTTCCAAAATAATTGCATCTGTTAGTTTGGTAGTTTTGATGCATAATATGTAGCAGCCAATTCCAAACTACAAGAGGTTGTATTTTTACAGTGTGCTATAACAATTTGTAAAAATGCTGGGTTTTTAGTAATACTTAAAAAAAAAAAATCTGATTACATACCCAGATTTTTAAAGTGTGTTCTTCTTAGAATATTTGTAGATTGATGTTAGGTCCAGTTACGTCATTCACAGTTGTTATGTATCAGCCTTTCCTAAGTTGCCTGTAAGTGCTGGTTGCTCTGGCAGGAGATAACATAAATGTGAGATTTTGCAATTTCTAGTTTTAGGTGTTTACACATACTATGGTGTTTGGGCTTGGCAACCCAGCCTTTAGTAAGAGTACTGTTTAAACTGATCATATTTCCTATAGAGATTCTAGATTATTTTTTCATATTTAATAATATTGTCATCCCACTTATTGACAGAGACATGGTGTAGGCTGCATATATTTTCACTGGTACAGAAACTGTTTATAAAATCGGTTATGAAAACTTAATAAATGAATAAGGCTGCTTGTAATTGTGATAATAACTCTTGTTTCAGCAAACTGTACTGTGATGAATCTTTATTAAGATATTGAATTGAAACAAAATTTTTGTTTTTTTGAAGGCAGGAATGACATATCTGTGGTAGGTGGTGAAGAAATTTATTTTGCCAGTTCACATTTCCAACAACCAGATGAACAAATAGAGCTTCAGGGACTTCAGTGCATTTGAGCTGGTTTATTCTAGCTGATACCAACCGAGTCTTACAGCCTTGATTATTACACCTGTTTATGTGTTAGGATATGCTTGCAGCCATAGAAATGGGGTATTCTGACTTGAATAAAATCTATTTGCTTTGGAAGAATAATTTTAGATAGCTAAATCTACCTTTATTTAAGGATGTTACTTAGCATCTGAAGTTCTACTGAAAACAAAACGAAGTATGATTTATATGACATTGTAATTTCACTTGTGAAAGACTGAACGAAGTGGTACAGAATATCATAGTATCAAAAACTACCTGAACTTGCTATCAAAGGAAAACGTGTCTTGGATTTCCCATGTAATTAGGATCGGTGCTTCAAGTTACCTTGTCAGTGATGACCATGGCTGATGGGACAACCTTCTCTTAGACCCTTTCTTCATTCATACTACATCCATCTCTTTGGTAGCAGATTTTGCAGCTCGTATCACTGTGAACGAAGCCATGACATTTTGGATTGTTAACAGGCTTTCTAAACCTCTTTAATCAGGATGCTAATAATAAGTTCTCAAAAAAAAAAACAAGCCCCCCCGAAAGATTAATCAAAATGTTCCGTTGTTAATCCTCACAAAATACTACAGAGCAAAAAACTATCTACAATTAAAAAAAAACAACCCATATATGGATATTTCCATTCACGGTTCCTGGATCTTTGTGCATTTTTTAATTGATGCTCCTAGTGATGGTCCCTTAAACACAAAACTCCTTTCTTTATTTGTAATGGCATGTTTAAGGTTTTATGATCCTCTTTGTTGCTAGCTTACAAGTTCAGAGTTGTAGGAATTCTAATGCTGTAAATAGGTGGGGTTTTTAAGTTACTATTTATGTTATCACTGACATTATATAACCAATATTTATTGCAGGATTTACAAACATACTGTGATTTTCCTGATATCATTGATGTCAGCATTAAACAAGCAAGCCAAGAAGGCTCCAGTGAGAGGAGAATTGTCACCATTCACAAACAAGACAGCAAGAATCTGGTCTGTTTACTTTGCTTGCTGTTTTTTCAAATACATGTTGCTTTGAGCAGACTGTGATTGCTGTGGTATTTATAGTATTGTAGTTGAACCAATTACCATGTTAATTAGGCATGAGGTAAAACTAAATGCATTTGAGCAGTATAAGCGGTGTATCGGAACACCAAAGGTCTTTTGCATTCAAAGCTCTGTGCGTGGACTGAAATAGAAATAGACGTTCATAGCTGAGGGTAGTTTCTGATACACAGTTTGGTTCATTCCTTTACTGGAGTCTTAAACTTGAGTCTATGGTTTTAGCTATTGAGCACACTGTCTCCATGCTGTCATGGTAAGCTGTCTGCCAGTGATTAAAACATTGCAAAAGGCTTCAAAATGCCCTGAAGGAATGATGATACACAGTGTCGTGGTTCAACCCCAGCCAGCAACTAAACACCACACAGCTGCTCACTCACCTCCACCCTCCGGTAGGATGAGGGAGAGAATCGGGAAGGCACAAGTAGGAAAACTTGCAATTGAGATGAAAACAGTTTAATGACTGAAATAAAACAAAGTAGAACAGTAGTAATAACAATGGTAACAACAACACTAGCAGAATATACAAAGCAGGCAATGCACAATGCAACTGCTCACCACCCGCTGACCGACGCCCAGCCGTGAGAGCCCTCTTTTCCCAGACCATGCCTCCTAATTATATACTGAGCATGACATCACATGGTATGGAATACCCCATTGGCCAGCTGGGTCAGCTGCCCCAGCTATGCTCCCCCCACAGCTTCCCCTGCATCTGGTAGAGCGTGGGAAGCCGAAAAGTGCCTGGTGCAAGCCATTCAGCAACAACCAAAGCATCAATGGGCCATCAACGTTCCTCTCATACCAAACCCAAAACACAGCAACCCCCCCAGCTACTGGGAAGAAAGTTAACTCTGTCGCAGCCAGAACCAGGACAGTATCCACCCCTTATTCTGCACCATCTACGTCATGCCCAGGTCTCACATTTTCCAATACCTCCCAA